CATGGAGCTGGTTCTGAGAACTCGGATGTTACGCTCCTTCAGCCAAAGCTCTTCTGCATCCATGTGATGGAGGGAATTGTGGTTGATGGACCTGAGGTTCCCCTCCTGCGTGATGTCCAGAAGGTGTTCACGACCGAGCCGGAGCTTGAGGACCCTGTTGTGCTTGCCGCCCAGGAGCTCCTCAAGAACTGGAAGGCCCTGGTCCCTCGCTTGGCCGAATTGTATATCTCGGACAGACTTCTCCTGTTTTGTGGCAAGATCTTTGTGCCGTGGAATAAGAACCTCCACCACCGGATTATGGAGCAGCACCACGACACGGACACGCTGGCTGCTTCAAGACATTGGAGCTCATCTTCCAGAACTACTGGTGGCCCTAGTTGTCCTGGCACATCGGCCAGTACATCGAAACCTGCAATGTGTGCAACTGAATGAAGGCGCTCCAGCGACTTCCCCATTGTGAGCTTCATCTGACCAAGATTCTGGACAAGTGCTGGGACACCGTCTCGATGGACTTCATCGTTGAGCTGAGAGAAGCACACGGGTTCAACACAGTATGGTTGTGGTAGATGTCCTCAGTAAGCAGGCCCACTTCAACGAGTGCCACACTGGCCTCAGTGCTGTCGGAGCCACCCAGTTGTACTACCGGAACATGTGGAGGCACCATGGAACCCCCCGGAAGTACATCTTCGACTGCGGCCCTCAGTTCATTGCCGAGGTCACTCAGAGGCTGTAGCGCCTCATTGGTATTGAACCTGCCATGTCAACTGCTTACCACCTGCAGACTGATGGCCAGACCAAGCATGTCAACCAGGAGCTCAAGCAGTTCATCCATATCTTCACGAGCTACAAACAGGACGACTGGGACAAACTCCTGCTGGCAGCTGAGTTCGCCTACAACAGCTACATCCACTCCTTGATGCAGCAGGTTCCGTTCATAACGGATACCGGCCACCTCCCTTGGATGGGTTTCCGAGCTGAATGGCATGTGTTCCACTGACAAGTCTTCAATGAGTTCCATGATCAGATTGCTGCTGGGGTTTCCGATGCCAAAGCTGTGCTCGTCAAAGCCAAAGACGAGTTCAAGCTCTACTATAATCACCAACACGTGCCTGCACCAGAGATCAAGGTAGGCAATCGAGTCTGGGTGGATGTGTCCAACATCAAAATGACACGTCAGTCGCCCAAATTCTCGGACAAGCAGCTCGGACCCTTCAAGGTCATAAAGGTTGTGGGCAACGGTGTGTACAAGCTCAAGCTCCCACTGTGCTACTCCCAGCTCCACCCAGTCTTCCTGGTGGTGAAGCTCAAGCTTGCAAAGCTGGACCCATTCCCCAGCTGGCCCCGGAACAACGAACCACCACCCGTCCTCCAGACAGACCGGGATGAGAGGTGGGAAGTTGCCAAGATCCTTGAAGTGCAGGTCCACTATGGCAGCCTCTGGTACATGGTGCGATGGAAGGGTTATGGGCTGGAGCACAATAAGTGGGTAACACCATTGATACCTACTACCGCCGCTACCCCAATGCTCCCCACCGGATCACCTTTGACTCACTCTCCTTCTGGAGGCATGACAGGACCATCTGCTTCATACATTGGGACACTGTATTCCAAGGGGGGGGTGATGTCAGGGGAATCCCCGCTCTGACTCTGACTCTGGCCCCGGTTCCGGTTCCAGCTGCTTCTGCTCTGGACACTTTTCTAGCCAATGCTCCAGACACTTTTCTGTCCACCACTTCAGATGCTCCTGCACCTGTCCCTGCATCCGTCCAACCATCCAGGACATCTGTCCGCTCCCACTGGCACGTGCTATGTGATCAGGCCTGTGATCACTGTAGATACCTCTGGACATGCACTACTGGGTAGCTACTAATTAGTATATAAGGTTTCACCTAACATGGAAATCCCCATCCTTTCTTCTCTATATCCCCCCGCTAGGTGCGTAGTTAGTCAGATACCCAGAAACCTGATGGCCTGACTTGGCCTGATAAGCCCATATGGGCTACAATGTCAATGATAAGGGAGATCAAGGCAGTTCACATTCTAAATGTGAGAGCCAGAAGCTGAATCTTGGTAATTCCAGGCATAAGAATTTACCGAAGAAACCCAAGGAGAATGGAAAGAAATCTTCCTCTGGTGATTGTAAGGCCAATATTGAGGGCTTCAAACACGAGAGCTCGGAATTGCCTGATGGTGGTTGGTTCCACACTACAACTGCTGACTTGAGCTCAGATTTGTTGTCCATATCATTGTGCAGTGCAGGAACTTTTTCAGAGTTGAGTTCAGCAGACAAATAGACCAGTCAAAGAAGAATGAAACACAGGTGTGGTATCAAGATCAAGACATTGTTTACCTACACTGGAAGGGCAGATCTTGACGTCTTTGATCAGTGGACATACAAGGTGGATACCTGGTGCAACTGGAACAAGTCAATGACTGGATGACAGTCAAAATCTTGGTCAACTTCATGTCAGGGAAAGCCAGCAGATTCTTCATGAAGCATGTATCACTTCAGCAGTGGGATTGGAATGTGAAATTGATCAATGAAGCATTGTTCAATTATTGCTTCCCCTAGATTCCAGGTTGAATGTGTGGGAGCAACTTACTGCAGCTCACTGGGGAAAGAATGATGTGCACAACTTTCACTGCAGCATCGAGAAAGGGAAATGAGAGAGTTTGTGATAGACGTCTGGAGCAACCTAGGTGGCCTCCGAGCCATATAGAGCCAGGTGGCCCCAATTTGGCTAGATGGCTTTTCAAATGACATCACTGTTGGTTTTTTTGTGTGAATAACATCCCTCTGTTTCTGTCAGCAACAGCCTCTGGGTCGGCGAAACAGCGAGTAACCCGGTGAGAACCCCAACCAGGATAAACCTGATAGACGCTAATAGCTCATGTGTTCCCCAAGCAGTAGAACCAACTGTATGGTGTCCTCCCTAGGAGACCATATGTCGTAGGTCAGGATGTGAGGCAGAACCCAGAACCAGTCAAAGAGGGTGTGATATCCACTCAGGTATAAAACCCAGGGTGTGGATGCAACCCGTAATACAATGTATAGGAAGTGGGGCAGGGTAGAGACAATGCCTATGTCAAGTCAAGGTAGAGGCCTGAGATTAGACAAGGTAGAATCTACTGTATATGGAGATTCTACCAAGCTTATATAGGCTTCAAAATAGATTAAAGGTCACAGTCTATTGCAATCAGGCCCGATACCTCAGCATTAAGAAGCATTAATGCTGATACTCCTGTGCTCCTCTGTGTTGGTTTCCATATCTCCTGAGGACTAGGGGACTCGATGTTCGGGTTTCCTAGTCCCTATCATTGTTGTCTCCAGTGGTTCAAACCAATTGAGTCAGTGGTTGGAACCCCAATCAGTTTGCAACCATTCGTGTACTTCATGTATGCCTCTGTGTCAGCCATGATGTGTCTGGGGACTAGGATTTGTCTGTACAGGTTCCTAGTCCCTAACATCTTCTGTATCCTGTGGCACAGACTACTCTGAGTCAGTGGCTTTTAGAATCCACGGTCAGGTTTCAACCGTGAGAAGGTCACGTGGTGGCGTCATGAGAGTCCTGTGCTGCTAAGACATGTCTGTATCCATACGGACATGTCATGCAAAAACGTAGAACCCAGGCAATTCATGACAGGTTCATATCTTTCAAAAAGACATGCAAACATGCTCAACAGGCAAGAACGGGTGGGATCACACACATATAAGTCTAGCAAAGGAGAATTCAGTATCTTTTGACCCTCCAGAGAGGAAGGAGACAGCAATGATGATGAGGGGGCTAAGGACAATAGGGGACTTCATGGTAGGGCCGAATATCTTGTTTGAGAATAAAAATAATGGACTGATGGGACGAATATTTTCCCAAAATAAAAATATTCCACAAACGAGATTTAATCTTGTTTGTGGAATAAACATTTTTTTGTGGAATATATACCTGCTTGAGTAAGCAAGCTGCCTGTGACCGCCCTGCCCCCATCCCGCCTCATCCCACCCATCATCCTGCCTTCCCCGCCCGTTGTCCCGCCTTCCCCGCCAATTGTCCTGCCTCATCTCGCCCATCATCCCGCCCCTCTCCTGCTTGTCATCCCACCTCTCCCACTCGTCAGCTGCGACAGTCCTGCCCTCCCGTCAAAAATGTATATATATATAGAAAAAAAAAGTCCCTGATCCAACTTGTTTAGCTGATATAGGGGTCTGTCAGATGACTAGATGGCGCACCTAAAGTGTTTTGTGTGCCTGGCAGGTGGAATTGATGCTATAGAAATATAAAAATATCCTGGGACTCAAATGGGGTGATCACGCATTTATTCCACAAACAACGATTTTATTTGTCCCATAAAATGAATATATTTATTCACAAACGGGAAAATCGGCCCTACCGTGAAGTCCCCTAATAGCATTGAAGAAGAAAAGAGTCAAAAGAAACACAGGGTTACAATGGGACAAGCCACCTAGAAAAGCCACCTGGAACCAGAGCCACCTGGGATCACATGCCTTGGTGGCCACCTGGGTGGATCGGCACAAACTCTCTATTAGACAGATATTGTGTGGTGGCTGAGCAGAACAGCTACCATTTCTGTACTGTTAATCTGCTTGAGCTCTTTCCTTTGTTAGCTGCTGATACACAGTGAGCCTGTTTTGATTTGAATACAGTTTTGATGATTGAGGCTTGTTATGTTGACAAGATTCAGATAATGGGCATTGGGTTTGTTTTGATCCCTGCTGTGTGAATCATGGCTAAGAAATATCCCTCCTTGCTTGTCTCTGTTCTGGTTTTGAACAGCTGCCTTGATAAACCACGATTTAATTGATTATTGTATCTATTTTTTGCCAGTTCAAATAATAACATTGAGGTTGTGCCCCAGTGAGGGATGTTTAAATGAGCACTAATTAAGTGGGATTATATATTGAGACGCAACTTGCTCAATCAAATCAAAATATGGTGCCGTGATGCCTGTGGATTGTGGCCATTTCAGATACCCACTTTTCATCCGGGCGTATGGTGTAGTTGGTTATCACGCTCGCTTAGCACTGCTTATGTAACTGTGCGAGAGGTGTCCGGTTCAATTCCGGATTCGTCCATTCTTTTGCTTTTGCCATTTCATTTTGTTCTATTTCTCCCTCTTTTATTCCCGTGCCGTCTCAGATGATCCCCACCGACACTACGCAATTTTTCTCGGCGGCATGCTCCTCTCGCACGATAGAGGAGAGGGAGGCGAACGAGAACACATGATTGGGGATTATTTCGACTAAAAGCTCGGTAGGAAGGTCGGGCGCGGGGACAGCTGGAAAAAAAAAAGCGCCGGCCTTGTCCATATCATGGTGAAGCGGCGCCAGATTGCCGAAGCTCCAGTGCATGATCGATCAACATCAACACCTTGGTTTTTCCGACGATGTCGTTTTCCAGCCAGTTCTCGCGGCTGGTCTTTTTACAAGTGGAGAATTGGCAAGTCCTTGGGATTTCTCAGCTTCATCGAGCGAGATGCAAACATGGTACAAGTGGCGGAAATAAGTGGTCAACAATGTTGACGCACCTTTCTGAGACTCGAGAGTTGCTGTGCTCAAGCGACCTGGGAGACTCGGTACCACCTATCCGGTACATCTGCCACTCCTACGAAAAATGGGGGGCGCGCTTATTCTGTAGTGGATCCGATTCTTCTGGCCAGATGCTGCGGAGATCCAAATCTTCAAGTTGTCTTCCTTCTTTGCCTCAATATGGCCCCACCCTTGCCGGTATCCCTTTGCTGCTTCTGCTCTCCGCCTATTCCCTCAATATGATTCCAATTGCACCGCTGCGCCCGCTCCCAAACACTCGGCAGGAATCCGCCGCTGACCCTTCCTCGAGCGGAAGGTTGGCAGGCTGTTGAGATTCACCGAAGCGAGGTACAACTTGACGGTACTAGAAGCAAGATACAAATGGCTGAAACATGTGGACGGCTTTCGAGAGCCCCAGTGTAGGACCCACTCGAGCAACTTGGAAGACTGATTAATACCCGTCTGCAATCTCTGTCTCAGCAACTTTAGCGCTAATCATTCTGCCGGCATTCGGGTTCGGTATTTGCCTCCGACGACAATATCGCCGGCGTCGGGAAATCTTCAAGGTAATCTCGAAGGTGACCGCCTCATCTAATTACAATTTCTCCAAACTCTGACAATATAAATAATCTGCATGTCTTCGAATCGATATGTCCGCTGCTGCTCTGCTCTACTCGGGCTTCTTCCCAGACACCGTCTGCTCCAACACTCTCCCATCCCCGAGCACGATCTTCTGCGTGCCAACCATGACAACTGCTATTCGGCACGGCGCCTCCGTGCGATTGTGCCACGCATGGTTCGCGCTACGCTGCACCATAAACTCTCCGGCCTTCACCGTTTTCTCGTCTCCGTTATCTACCGCGAGAACGATCTCCCCGACAGAATGCCCGCGTAGTCGATGCTCTGGGTTCGGTGCATCGGCGCGCTCCCGCCCGGCTGGATGTCAGCGATGCAGAATATGACGGGCAGTGCGGGAGGACGGTCGCGGGCTCGGGGTAGGGCGCGGTACGTGGGGCTCGCGTGGAAGCTCGTGAAGTGCGCGCCTTGGGACCCAAAGGGCGTGAAAGGCGGGCGAATTTCGTCGAAGGTGAAGACGGAGGTGCCGTCAGGAGTGTGCCTGGTCACGACCAAGCGCGCGTCAGGAGGCTGGGTGGAGGTGGGTGCCATTGGGCAGTGTGTGAATAGGTGGACTTGGTTCCGAGTCGCGGAATGGGAGCTGATGCTTTTGAATAAGATTCCGAGCCCTACACATACCAACTCCATCGGAAGAACAAAGTGCGCAATTTCCATATGCAGAAATACGAGTCGCAGCGCCACCGTGGATCTTGCTTCATTAACGGAGAAATGAACACAAATCTTCTTCATGTGGTCAATACAGCCGTGAGGCGGGAGATTCTACGTTACCTACTCAGGATGAGAGACAACAGCCCGTATCAGATGTCCTTGAGGCGGGCAGCCGACCACCAGTTACCGACACATCAGTTTCATTGACAGACGCATCAAATTCAATTCAATTGCACCTGAGTCTGTACCTCGCATAAATGTAAAGGGTTACACCAAAGAAAAAAATACACAAGGCGACATAATCACATGCCCCCATACGCATCTTCATGGTTCCCATAATGATAATGCGGCGGCGGTACAGCCCCAGGATGGCCACCGCTACCCTGCCGATGCATTGGCGGGGGGTAGCCTTGCTGCCCGGCGGGGACATAGAACGGGTTTTGCGCGATAGGATATTCCGGACTGCCGTAGGCTGGGGTATCGGGGTAAGGGGACGGTTGGGGATGTATGTAGGGATATGGATGGTGCATATGCACCACCGTAGGCGGGTGGTAGTCCATGCGCATCGAGCGGACGCTGCCATTCCGGAACTCGGGCTCCCTTAGAGAAGGAGGGGAACTGTCCAGCATGACCGCGGAGCGGCGGAAATGTTTCGCGTCGAAATTGATGGACTCGCGCGAGCGGCGACGGTCACGATGCCATCGACGCTGTGAAAATTTTAGTCGGCACTCATCCGAGGGGCAAAAAAAAATGCGCACGAGAAAGAAGGCAACTAGAAGTCCTGTTACTGCGATCCCCACTAAACCGCCGATGACACCAGCAGCGACGGCGGTGACGCTAGTCGAGGAGGAAGGAGATACGGACGTAGATGGCGAGGGGGAAGGTGAGGGGGAAGATGCAGCCAAGGAGGCCAGTACAGAAGTGGCCGTCGACGAAGTGGCTGGAGAGCTTGTCGTCTATATGGATGTCAGAATGGCCAAGTGCGGATCGGATCCCCTCACAAGTGGGGTAGTGGTGGTTGGGGCGATGGGCGTCGGCGGCTTGCTGGTTGTCTGAATCCCACATGATTAGGGTGGGTCCTCCAGAAAGCCGTTGTGAAACGCACCAGCGGTAGAGTAGTGGCCGGAACGACAGCGGGGGTAGTGGCAGGAAGGGTAATGGCAGGAAGGGTAGTGGCAGGAAGGGTAGTGGCAGGAAGGGTAGCCTTCGTAGGTGGAACGACAGCTTTTGTCGTGGCGGGGACCTTCGCAGTCGTTGCAACCACTGCCGTGGTCTTCTTGACCGTCGCCGGCAGCGTAGCGGTCGGCTTCACCACGGCCTCTAAAGTGGTACATGAGTCTTCACCGAAAAAAAAATTCAGGGGTACGCACTGGTCGTCGTCGGAACTACAACGACAGCGGGAGCCCTGCCAGGACGATAGTGAATAATAGGCATGTCGAATGGAAGGGCGAAAAAGAAAAAAAGAGTGTGGGCGAGTGGGACGTGGGCGGTGGGGAAGAAGGATGCGGAAAGGAGGAATGATGGTAGGTACAGTATGACAGGAGGGGCTAGGGTCGCAACCAACTTGACGTGATCGTATGATCGATCGCGGTAAATTAAACAGAGTTCCCGCGGTTCATCAGTGGTTTCCAAAACAGCAAACACAAGGTACCAGGTACCTACAGAGCGCTTAGTGGTATTCGACATTACAACTTGGAGCTGTAATAAAAATACACATTGATATCATACACGTAGTACTACAGTGATATTCACCTTCCTAAGACCCTAAATTTGATGCGCAACCGTCTCCGATCTTAAATCCTCTTCAGCGAACGCCTCCTCTGCCTTTGACGACCGTCTCTCCTTGTTTTCCACGGGTGTATTTTCTTGCTCGGCGCTACTGGACCTGCTGTATTTCCGTGCAAGCTCCAGTGCCTGCTCGTAAGAGTCCGTCGTGGCGGTACGGCTAGGAGTCCATGGCGGCTGCGTGAAGGATTTCTGGCGCAGGGATTGAAGGGCACGGATGAACGACTAAATAGGATGGTGTTTAATTGAAAGGTATGTCCCAAACCGGAAAACACTTACGGGATCGGAGCCGGCGAGTAGGGCGTACAGCAGGGGACGGAAGGAGTAGATGCATAAGTCTATTCCCAGCAGAGTCAATAGCTGGACTGAGAAGTTGATGGCGCGGTACTCACTCAGTGTCCGCAAATTAATGTTCTATAAGGGCAGGTCAAGACGCACATCGAGGGAAAGAAAGAAAGCCTGAAGGGACGTACAGTGTCGGTGAGATCTGGGTTCATGATACTGTAGACGTCGAGGATACACGCGGTCGAGCTCAGGAAGCAGGAAAGAAGAGGGTAGAGCGCTGAGTGCATTCTTCATTGAGGATGCCGGGCAACGACGAGGTAACCGGTGCTTACCGATGCGTATGATCATCGAGCGAAATCTTACAACGGGATGCCTGGGGAGACTCGAAGAAAGTGTGACGGTCCCGGATTCGGAGACGCTGGTGGTCCGTGAAACGGTTTCGATCCGCAGGCTCTGCATCCTCATCTGTGGGAAGCCAGTAAGCAATTGTGACGACAAAGGCTTTGCAAAACGTGCCTCGTGTCGGATCATAAAAACCACAATGTTCACGAACGACAGGACTTCGATGAGGGACATCAAGAGCATCGGTACAGAGTATGCGCCAATGAGCCAGTGGAGTTGCACCGAGGGCGTGGGGTCCTTCAGCCAACAGGCCCCGTCCTTGGCGTACCACCTACGAAAGTTTAAAATAGTGTTCAAAGGATTTAAAAAAAATCTGCTTACCCGAATTCGCCGGCCACCCACATCGGAATGGTGCAAGCCGCGCAGATCAATACTGCGCCGAAAAGGTAGAATTTTTCCGTTTTCTTGCCGTTCACGCCGTAGACGAGAACAAGCCTGTGTTTCCAAGATTAAACCAAGAAGCAGCCAAAAGAAACGAATTGCATACGCGAGATTGAGTGCTACGCAGCAGAACATGCATGAGGCGAATAGGGGGGACATCTGAAACAACGTTAGGGTTCAGTCGAGTGATGGTATGAGCACACGTACCACACCCAGGAAACCGACCAGGCTACATCCAGGAGTCGTCTCCTTCATGTCTGCGAACATCAACGAACCGAATACCACGCTTCGAAATACATATATATTAGGGAAATCCATGTATACGAAAGTAGTGTGGAAACGCACTTTGCTATCAGGGCATAGATGAGCAAGCGAAAGCTGACACGGTCGAGGTGCGGCCGCGACACTGG